TAGGGGGGAAGCGGTAGACGTGGTATATCTTGAGTTTTGTAAAGCTTTTGATACTGTCCTCCATGACCTTCTCATAAATAAACTAGGGAAATGCAACCTAGATGGAGCTACTTTAAGGTGGGTGCAAAACTGGCTGGAAAACCATTCCCAGAGAGTACTTATCAGTGATTCATAGTCATGCTGGAAGGGCATAATGAGCATGGTCCCGCAGGGATCAGTTCTGGGTCAGGTTCTGTTCAATATCTTCATCAATGATTTAGATAATGGCATAGAGAGCACACTTATAAAATTTGCGGACCGTACCAAGCTGGGAGGGGTTGCAAGTGCTTTGGAGGATAGGATTAAAATTCAAAATGATCTGGACAAACTGCAGAAATGGTCTGAAGTAAACAGGGTGAAATTGAATAAGGACAAATGCAAAGTACTCCATTTAGGAAGGAACGAACAGTTGCACACATACAAAATGGGAAATGACTGCCCAGGAAGGAATACTGCGAAAAGGGATCTGGGAGCCATAGTGGACCACAAGATAAATATGCATCAACAGTGTAATGCTGTTGCAAAAAAAGCGAACATCATTCTGGGATGTATTCGCAGGAGTGTTGTAAGCATGACACAAGAAGTAATTCTTCCGCTCTACTCCATGCTGATTAGGCCTCAACTGAAGGGCACCACATTTCAGGAAGGATGTGGACAAATTGGAGAAAGTCCAGAGAAGAGCAACAAAAATGATTAAAGGTCTAGAAAACATGACCTATGAGGGAAGATTGAAAAAATTGGGTTTGTTTAGTCTGGAAAAGAAGATTGAGAGGGGACATGATAACAGTTTTCAAGTATGTAAAAGGCTGTTACAAGCAGAAGAAAGAAAAATTGTTTTTCTTAACCTCTGAGGATAAGACAAGAAGCAATGAGCTTAAATTGCAGTGAGGAAGGTTTAGGTTGGACATTAGGAAAAACTTCCTAACTGCCAGGGTGCTAAAACTTAATCTATGTTTTTAAAAAGTTATTTAGTTCACAACAATGTAGTCAGAAGAAGAAAGCTAATGGAGTTTGGAGTCGTAGATTCAGTTTTTATATTTAGAAATCACTTATAACCCTCTACTATTTATTAAACTAAATTCAGTCAAAAATAGATAAATCATCTGCACATGATATCAACATATAGACATTTTATAGTGTGCATTATCTATTCAGTAATTGCCACTGAAAAGTCAACCTTTTCCCCCCCATCATCAAGCTTTGGTATCGGAGACGCCACTCCATTTCCCTAAAATAAGAAATAAATGTGGTATACCAGTTATTATTCTGTGACTAAATGTTCACTTTTCAGTGGAGTCCACTGTGCACTGAGTGTGTTAACATCATTGAAAAGAAAATAACATTTACATCATTACTGTATAAACAATTTGCTGCAGTAGGTTTTGTAGGTATAGGATATATACCCATATGTATAGAATTTTTTTTTATATAAAACATACCCAGTATAAGCCAATATTAAACATGGCATAGAGCTGTCACCATTACAAAGTCAGCATCTACCAACAATTATCACACCCGACACTTTGACTACAATATAACTGTGGTATCTCAGATATCACTGTCCAGTACAGTAAAACTTATGAATTTATCAATAGTTAAGTCCAGAAATGACCACTATGATAATCTAGTCTGAGCTCTCCATTACACAGGCCAGAGATGTTTATTTTGTAATGGTGAGTATTCTATATATTTAATATATATACTTATGCTGCACCCTAGATATAGAGACAATGAGAACTACAAACTAGAGAAGAAAATTTTTTGTATAATTCAGAAATTCTGACATGTGCTCTTATTATTACCAACTAACTACTTGTATTGTGATACGTCCTCTAGGTTTTAGGTGCTCTTCAGAGATGCAATAAAGCACAACCTTTGCCCTGAAGGCCTTAAAATCTAAGATGACAAAAAATAAATGAAGGGCAAGGGAGAGGGAGAGGAATATAGATACAATTTATAAAGAAAAGGAGTACTTGTGGCACCTTAGAGACTAGCCAATTTATTTGAGCATGAGCTTTCGTGAGCTACAGCTCACTTCATCGGATGCATACCATGGAAACTGCAGAACGGTATGCATCCGATGAAGTGAGCTGTAGCTCACGAAAGCTCATGCTCAAATAAATTGGTCAGTCTCTAAGGTGCCACAAGTACTCCTTTTCTTTTTGCGAATACAGACTAACACGGCTGTTACTCTGAAACCTGAATTTATAAAGAACTGCCTCTTAACCTAGCCCTTATGAGTTATCTATTTCCTGTAGTTACCATGATAGACTAGGTCTTGAAGAGGGATTTGAAGGAGGAAAGGATTATGGACTAAGGGTGTAGCGGGGTGGTAACCCCGCTCCGGTGTGGAAGGGGTTAAAAACAGCCCTGGGAAAGGGCTGCCCCAGACAGCCAATCAGGAGCGGGCTTGAGGCAGCCAATCAGGGCCTGGCTGGGAGTATAAGAAGGCCTAAGGGAGGAGCTGGGTCAGAGTCTCTGTCTAGCTTTGGAGAGAGAGAGACCTAGCTGCCTGAAGGAGCAAAGGATATGTTGGCCAGAGCAGTGCTGGGGAAGGGCAAGAGGAGTTGGGGAGCTCCAGCCTGGCAACTCCCCAGGCTGAGGTCTTGATAAAGGCCTATGCAGGTACTGGGGCTGGGAGGTGCAGCCTGGGAATAGGTAGAGGCAGCTGGTCTGACCCCTTGCCAATGATGAGTGGCCATTACAGACTGCAGTTTGCCCCAGTGAGAGGGGGCTACGTGATGACTGGCAGTAGCCACTGAGGCAAGGTGGGTATAGAGGATTGGGGGTTCCCCTGGGAGGGGAGACCCAAAGTGTGGGGGTACTGCTGGGGCAGAACCCTGCGGTAAAGATGCACCGGGGTCCGGGAGGGACCTGGGGACCTGAGGCAGATGAGCCACCAGATGGTGCTCCAAGGCTGGAAAAGAACTAATTCTCAGACGACCAGCAGGAGGCGCTGCACTGGTGAGTCTCCACTCTGTTAGAAAGGGGCATTAAGTTAGTGAACTAAGGACTTCTTTAAGGAGGGCATTCCATTCCTAAGTGCTGGTATAGATGGAATTATGAAGGAAGTAGCTAAGTTGTGAATAACACAGGCATGCTCTGGAATAAGGTATGAACAATAAGATTCAACAACATGCTAACTGTTTTGATACCATTTTAAAAGCCATGGAAGAAGGGAAGGGAATGCAGCTGATGTAATATCTTGATTCTTACAGTGAATTTGGTAGCATCTCACAAAATAGTACTTGCAAATTTAATTCTGATTGGCTTCAATATGAGTTCTGTTGCATGGACAGACAACTGACTGAAGGATCATGAAAAAGGAAACAATAAATGGCAATGTATCAGCTGGTTGCCAGGTATCCAGTGAGCTGCCCATGGATTGGTATTTGACTCACTTTTATTCCATTACTTATTCCTGAAATAATTTTTTTAAAATCTTCCCTAAAAGCCCAGCTAGGTGTGGGGACGGGGGGTGGAAAGGTAATGAACTCAAGGCCATTGGGTTGGTGGCGCTGGAGTGGCAGCCTGGTATGAGGCGAGAAAACTACGGGCTGCATGCATATGTGAACAGCAACAAATAGCAGGCGGATCAGAGTTGGGAACGTCGGATTGAGCGGGTGGCTAGTGAAAGCAGGAGCAGTGGGGGAGGTGGTGGTGGTACAGAGAGGGAAATAAAGATGATGTTGTAAGAAGTAGAGCAGTGGACTCTGGGGAGAGGAGGAGGAGGGGAGCTGGGGAGAAGAGCAGATTGCTTCAGAATGGTTGCATCACCAGGCAGACAAATGTGCAAGCTCTTTGATGGGAGAACAATCTATTCACACCACTACAGTGATGTACCAGAGCAAAACAGTTAACGAAGGAAAGGTAACCTACACATTAGCAGGCGATTTTCAAAGGCAGTTAAGCCTCCCAAGTACTACTGAAAGTCTATTTGTGCCTTTAGACATCTCCCCTTGTATCTACAGAGGATACTCAATTGGCAGGTACTGCAAATACTAGTGAAGACAGAAAAATAATACTTAAGAGTTTTTCCACAAGCCCGAGTGTCAAATAAGAAAATCCTCCCATTGACCCAGTCCCCTGGGAGTTCCATCATGAAGAGGGGAATGCGATTACTGTAGATTTGTCAAATTACAAAGGCCTCTTCTGATGGAAACTTATTTAGAAAATGGAAAATCCATAGGTCTAATGTAGGTCCTTAATCACCACTGGCACCCTGTACTGGAATCCATGCTAGTGTGGCCCTTAGCTACATTGAAACCAGAAGCTCAGACAGACTTAAGTAATGAGGTCACTTTGGAAATCAGACCAAAAACCCTTGCATGCTGTGTATAAATAACAACATGAGACAGGCTGACAAAGGCCATAAAAATATGAAAGGGCAGTCTGGCAAAATAATTTCCTGCCTTTCTGTATAGTATGTCCAACTGTTATTTTTTTTTCCTACTCCGTTTTCTTCATATTCCACTTAATTCGGTAAACTTGTATTTGGAGAGGCTTAATGTTTGCCTCACACGCTGCAACAGGCAGTAAAGCAGTAAAAGAAATTTGCATGACAAACTGGAATACCTCCTTCAGTTCCAGCATATGGGGTCTGCAGGAAGATATTAGCATTCTGCAAAATATGTCACCTTCAAAGACAGGAATAGATAGTGTGAAGTTGAAGAAAAACCCTAAAAGGTGTCAGTATTTTTATTGGACCTGAAGGATTGATTTAATTAACAAAAATTATTTCTCTATGGCTGGAGGGCTTGTTATGTATTAACTCAGAATGTAATTTTACTACTGAGTTGTGAACCATTAAAAACAGCCATAGGTCTCAGCTCAAGTACAGCAAAGCAAAATACATAAGCTCTAAGGACATCTGCAAACAGAGCTTAAAAAAACTCTTCCCAGCATTTTTCTGACTCTCAACCAGGGCAGCTACTGAAAAAGTAGTGATGTGTTTAACTTACCGAGGATTTATCAGGATAGACACCAGCTCGCAGTAGGGATGCCTTCCAGCTATCCATCTCCTCCTGGGCATCACAAGCCAGCTCAAGATAGCGATAATCCTTGTAAACATTCCTAGAACATAGAACATTACACTATAAAATTTGAACTTTGCTATTCTGCATCACGTACAGAGCATTTCAAATAACAAATCCTTCAGGATCTATAATTATTTTACAGCTTTTTGAAAGGGGAGACATGTGACGGTCTGATAATTACACAAAGGACCTAAAAATGTTAATTTAAAATAATAATGGTCTGGATGCACTGTAGTTACAGAAGCTTTAGATCTAGTGTTTATTAAAAGTGTGGAAAGCCTGATTTTTAAACTAGAACACATTTAGGGGCAAAATGCTGCTGGAACGCAGAGGACAAAGACCGTTGTGAAAGAATTGCCAACAAAGTTGTATGGACTCTGACTGGTAGCTGCTGTAGCCAATGAAAATCAAGATTAGTAATGATCTTACTTTCCCCATAGTAAATCTCTCCAGTACAATACTAGTTCAGTTTTAGCTTCTGAACATTTTCAGTAAAAGGAAAATTTTTTTAAAAAGTCTCCGTTCTCATAAACGCAAAAGGATTCCATAACCATAAAAATACCTCAGACACACCATCTATTGCAGGGGTTCTCAACCTTTTTCTTTCTGAGGCCCCCACAACATGCTGTAAAAACTCCACAGCCCACTTGTACCACAACAACTGCTTTTCTGAATATGAAAGTCAGAGCCCGCATTAGGGGGTAACAAGCAGGGCAATTGCCCAGGAACCCACGCCACAGGGGGCATCGTAAAGCTAAGTTGCTCAGGCTTTGGCTTCAGCCCCAGGTAGCAAGCCTCGAGGCCCTGAGCTGCAGTCCTGCATGGCAGGCCTTCGGCATTCTGCCCTGGGCCCCAGCGAGTCTAACGCTGGCCATGCTTGGTGGACCCCCTGAAACCTGCTTTTGACCCTCCAGGGGGCCCCAGACTCCCGGTTGGGAACCAGAGACCTACCGTATGTAATTAAGAAACTCCCTAAACACAATTATAGCACCTTGTTATTAATGTAAGAAAAGAGAAGAAAATATACATGATCCGCAAGGCAGTGGTATTTATACATTCTCCATTAAACAGAATAGGATTTCCCCCTTATGGTTTAACCATTAATTATTACCTAATTCAATGTCTATACACAGACTAGATTGCTGTAAATTGGTCAGCCAATTGTCTTTTCAGGAAAGGCTATAAGCTTAGCTTAATTGTGAAACCACATGTTGCTAGATCTTAATGGAGATGCAAAAATCCATTTTTAATTGCAACAAGACTGTTTTCCCGAGCAGCAATGGAACAATTTTGGGGGGGGATGACAAAGATCACTAACTCACACAGCAATAACTAGACATTATAAAGACATTTTATATTAGAAGCCCTGTCTCTCGCAATATGTTACCATATTTTGAGAGAATTTTTGAGACCAAGTATGCAGCCAGAAAAATATATCCACTTTTACTACTAGTTAGTCCATTTCTCTAGTATTCCAGGGACTTTGGTACTTTCACCTTTTACATATCTGGAATACAACAGGTTTGTTATACTTCACCTTTGCTAGAGAGATTCCCTCCCCATTAATGACAATATCATCTGACAGACAACTAACTCCTAAGCCTGTTTTTTAGATGGAGTATCAGGAAACAGATGGGTATAAAACCTGGACATTTAGCAATAAACTACCATTGCTATACTACTATGGGTAGTGATTCATGCTATGCTACATTGAAGTGAAACATGCCCATATCAGCATATAGGCATACATGGCATTATTTGTGAGTTTATATATTTAATTCAAACTGCAAAACACGATGAGTACAATTCTGACTCAACTGATTAGAGACTTCAGATGGATTATTTTTTTCCTCTAAATATATTCCACATACACAAGCAGCTAAAAAATCTAGGTTGTCTAAAACAGGGGGCAGAGATATCTGAATCTTATTTCATCTACAAAGTTTGGGAATTTGGAATCAATATGTGTAAAGTAAATTAAAGGATATGGTGACAAGAGACAGAGGTTGAACAAGGCAGCTGGATAGAACTTGCTGATTTGCTGCCTGGAAACTTTTTGGTTTTAACTGTTTTAGGTAAATTAATTAGGTGGCTACAGTTACGGAAAAAAGATCAGCTAAAATGTGAGGCGGCACAAAATAAAAGCTATAAAACATGAAGATTCATTGATTCCCAGGCTAGAAGGGACCTTTGTGTTCATCTAGTCTGACCTCCTGTATAAACTAGGCCATACAACTTCCCCAAAGTAATTTCTACAGCAGATCTTTTAGAAAAACATCCAATCTTGATTTTAAAATGGTCAGTGATAGAATCCACTATGACCCTTGGTAAATTGTCCCAATGGCTAATTACTCTCACCATTAAAAATTTACACTCTATTTCCAGTAGGGATTTGTCTAGCTTCCACTTCCAGCCATTGGCTCATGTTAGACTTTTCTCTACCAGACTGAAGAGCCCATTATTAAACATTTGTTCCCCATGTAAATACTTAGACTGTGCTCAAGTCACCCATTAACCTTCTTTTTTTTAAGCTTAATAGATAGGGTTCTTGGAGTCTAATGCTATAAGGCAGGTTTTCTAACCCTTTAATCATTCTCGTGGCTCTTCTCTGAACTCTCACCAATTTATCAACATCTTGAATTGTGGATAGAAACCTGGCTAGATAGTCGTGCTCAACGGGTAGTGATCAACGGCTCGATATCTAGTTGGCAGCCGGTATCAAGCGGAGTGCCCCACGGGTCGGTTTTGTTCAATCTTATTAATGATCTGGATGATGGGATGGATTGCACCCTCAGCAAGTTCACAGATGACACTAAGCTGTGGGGAGAGGTAGATATGCTGGAGGGTAGGGATACGGTCCAGAGTGACCTAGATAAATTAGAGGATTGGGCCAAAAGAAATCGGAGGAGGTTCAACAAGGACAAGTGCAGAGTCCTGCACTTAGGTCAGAAGAATCCCATGCACCGCTACAGGCTGGGGACTGGCTGGCTAAGCGGCAGTTCTGCAGAATAGGGCTTGGGGATTAGAGGATGAGAAGCTGGATGAGAGTCAGTAGTGTGCCCTTTTTGCCAAGAAGGCTAATGGCATATTTGGCTGCATTAGTAGGAGCATTGCCAGCAGATCAAGGAAAGTGATTATTCTCCTCTATTCAGCACTGGTGAGGCCAGATTTGGAAAACTGCATTCAGTTTTGGGGCCCCCACTACAGAAAGGAGGTGGATAAATTGGAGAGAGTCCAGCAGAGGGCAACGAAAATTATCAGGGGGCTGGGGCACATGCTTTACAAGGAGAGGCTGAGGGAAGTGGGCTTGTTTAGTCTGCAAAAGAGAAGAGTAAGGGGGGATTTGATAGCAGCCTTCTACTACCTGAAGGAGGGGTTCCAAAGAGGGTGGAACTTGGCTGTTCTCAGTGGTGGCAGTTGACAGAACAAGGAGCAACGGTCTCAAATTGCAGTGGTCGGATATTAGGAAACACTATTTCACTAAGGGTAGGTCTTCACTACCCACCAGATTGGCAGGCAATGATCAATCCAGCGGGGATCAATTTATCGCATCTAGTCTAGACACGATAAATCAACCCCCGAGTGCTCTCCTGTCAGCTCCTGTACTCCAGTGCCGCAAGAGGCGCAGGCGGAGTTGACGGGGGAGAGGCAGCAGTCGATTCACCATGGTGAAGATATCATGGTAAGTTGACCTAAGTACGTCAACTTCAGCTACGTTATTCACGTAGCTGAAGTTGCATAACTTAGATCAATTTCCCTCCCCCTCTCCCCCAGTGTAGACCAGAGCTTAGAGGGTGGTGAAGCACTGGATTGGGTTACCTAGGGAGGTGGTGGAATCTCCATCCTTAGAGGTTTTTAAGGCCTGGCTTGACAAAGCCCTGGCTGGGATGATGTAGTTGGTGTTGGTCCTGCTTGGAGCAGGGTGTTGGACTAGATGACCTCCTGAGGTCTCTTCCAACCCTAGTCTTCTATGATTCTACTCACTAAGGATCCACTGATGTCTCATGGAAAACTGTGAAATTTTCTTTGAAAACAATTGAAATTGTCTTCTCTCTTCCACTTTTTAGAATTACTAAAAATCATAGACTATCAGGGTTGGAAGGGACCTCAGGAGGTCATCTAGTCCAACCCCCTGCTCAAAGCAGGACCAATCCCCAATTTTTGCCCCAGATCTCTAAATTGCCCCCTCAAGGATGAGCTCTCAACCCTGGGTTTAGCAGGCCAATGCTCATACCACTGAGCTATCCCTCGCCAATATTTGCATAGAAACAGGATATTCTTTAAGCATCTGGTTATTTCCCATGGGATGCAGTAATCTTGGGATATCACTATCATCTCAATAGCAACTTACTGTGATGTCATAAACCCAAGTTCATGACATCAGACAGGGGAGTATGAAGCAGGAATAGGTGAACTTCTAAGCAACACAAATCTTGTTTATATGCAAACATTTATAGCTGTGAAGAACATGGAAAGAGAAATACAGAAAATATACATGGAACTACCAATGAGTAGTTTTTTCTAGGTTTTCCATGATCAATTATTTAAATATTTGAATATTCTTCAGGGTGGATAAAAATCTATGGATTTTTTAAAAAAAATTTAAAAACAGATTTTTGATTAAAATGTTTTTTGAGGAAAAAACCTATCTAAAGATAGTTTTAATTAACATACATTATAGCTCAAAGATATCTCATCATGGAATAGGGATTCTAAATTCTAATTCTGTAGTATGAGACAATATATTCATGTAATGTTTAAGAAAACTTGTAAATGAGTTCCAATAGTTCATGGATTAGGGACCCAATCTTATTCGTTTCCACACGTTTCTGTGTAGATTTAGGTTAATCTTTCTATCTGCCCAATGGGACTCAGTGCTCAGTCTAGAAGATACCATCACAGATGCTTAGTTTTGTAGTTCTCAAACTGTGGATTTGTGTCTCCAGAGGTAACATGCTTGTTAACAGCAAAAATGTTTTAAAATAAATATATAGAGGTGAGAAATAACAGACCTCAACTCTATTGTCCCTCTGCAAA